ATACAAAATTTTGTCTCCCTGTTATTCACCGCTGAGGAGATCTCTCGTAGCTGCAGCAGCATCATGTCACATTTATGATTAACATGCATTGTCATCGGTTCTAGACCAGCATGAAAAATTTCAGGTCAATCGGATACCGGGAAGTGGGTCAAATTAAAACTTGCAAGATTTGTTAACATACATACAAGTCAAGTTAAATAAAAGTTTTTAAATAAAATAAATTAATTCTCTACTGTTTTTAGTATTGATTCATTGTTTTTCTGACACAAAATTACTAATAAAGATGAAAGTAGACTCAACACTAGGCGTGTTAGTATGGCTCAGCTTCGGGTTTCAGAAATACAAAGTTCAGTGTCAGCTGTACTAAAATTTGTACTAAAAACTCTGTCAGCCTGAAAAGAGTACCCACATTATTTAAATTCACATATCAAATCCTTTGTTTTTTTACACGGAATCTAATTGCACTTATTTAGTCGACCGATGTGAACGACCCGACCTATCGTTGTCTGGCAGCATGTAACGAGATGTTTCAGTCATTTCATCATCCCAATTCATAGAAATATATTCGTGACTCAACGNTACTTATTTCAGAATCAACGATCGTCATCTGACTGGAGAGCAACTGCTGAACCTCGTCCAAAATGCCCGAAAGCACAACAATCAGCTGGAAAGGTTATAGCCTCGGTATTCTGGTATGTGCATGGTGTAATATCCATCAACTACCTTGAGAAGGAAAATATCATATTATATAGCGTTATTGGAGAGTTTGAAAGCCGCATATGGCAGAGAAAAAAATCATTTCATCAAGACAACGCATCGTGTTACAAGTCAACCAAAACAATGCAAATCTACATGAATTGAACTTTAAATTGTTCCCACATCCACCGTATTCGCCCGATTTGGCTCCTAGCGACTACTGGTTGTTCGCAGACCTCAAAACACCGCTGATCGTTAAGAAATTTCGCTCGAATAAAGAGGTTATTGCTGAAACTGAGGCCAATGTTGAGGCAAAAGATAAATCGTTCTAGAAAAGTGTGGTTCTTGATGGGGATGACGTTACGTTACACAATTCTTCTCTTAGCCCCGGGACTTTTCAGCCCATGTATTATGCGTTAACATGCACTTTTTTAAACAGATTATTAGTGGCATACCTAAAATAACATTGAATACATGTCATTACTGTTGATTACGAGTCGTTCCAGAATATTTGTTAGAAAATAATTACCAAAATTGCACTCGAAATAAACAAATTGGAAAATTGAAATACTGCACATAATAGACAAGAATATGATTAATTGGAATATGACAAAATGGTTTAGACTTTCACGGCTGAGGTTTTCAGTGTCATTTCTTTTCGAGTTTGAAAGACGTGGATTTTTGGAATTTCTTCCTGACGTTTCGCTGGCGCGAGTGGCTAGCTTCTTCAGAGGTTTAACCATCATGGCTTGCTGTCCGATGACTACCTTTTCGGCTTCGTAACGCGTATTTATGCCTTGCCAGGTAATCAGTTGTGTTTGTACCTGTATTTGTACCTGCATTTGTACCTGTACTTGAACCGGGAACATCAACAATCTTGCTGCCTGTTGTCATTCGTTATTCTCAAACTCTTTAAAATGGGGTTCCATATTCGGTTGAGGTTAACCGCTTCTTCTTTTCTGTTGAAATTCTCCGTGTGTTTGTGGATCTCTATTGCCTCCCGTACCAGTCGGCTATGGTATCCCTGGTTGGGGGCAATTAGTTCTGTTTTCAAACTAAATTCTGTGGTCTCCTTCACTAAGTGCGTGTTCTGCCACAGCTGACTTGTCCGTTTGGCCTAGTCTGCAGTTCCTTTTATGCTCTTTTAGTCTTGTTCCCATGGATCGTTTGGTGGTTCCGATATATACCTTTCCACAAGTGCACGGTATGCGATAGACCCCTGCTGCTGATAATGGGTCTCTTTTGTATTTAGCCGACCTGAGGCTTTGTTGTATCTTCCTCGTGGGTTTGAAGACTGTTTCGATGTCGTGTTTGCCCAACAGTTTTCCAATTCTGTCCGTGACTCTACGGATAAACGGTAGATATGCGCGTGCAACCAACTGATCCTTTTTCGCTGTCTGAACTGTGGTGCCCTTCGGTTTCATGGCTTTTCTGGTCTCGGAGGCACTGCATCCATTCGATCTCAAGGTCACTTCAAGGTATTTCAGTTTCCTCTCCAGCTGTTCTGGTTCACATATTCTCCGAGTCCGTTCCGTTAGGAGATGACTCCTCTCTTTTGGCTAGGATGGTGGTTCGATAGTGCGATAGTGCACAGATAGATACTTGCACGCACTATCGAATCACCATCCTAGCAAAAAGAGAGGAGTCATCTCCACTCTAACGGAACAGACTCGGAGAATATGTGAACCAGAACAGCTGGAGAGGAAACTGAAATACCTTGAATTGACCTTGAGATCGAATGGATACAGTGCTTCCGAGACCAGAAAAGCCATGAAACCGAAGGGCACCATGGTTCAGAAAGCGAACAAGGATCAAATGGTTGCACGCGCCTATTTACCGTTTATCCCTAGAGTCACGGACAGAATTGGAAAACTATTGGGCAAACACGACATCGAAACAGTCTTCAAACCCACGAGGAAGGTACAACAAAGCCTCAGGTCGGCTAAATACAAAAGAGACCCATTATCAGCAGCAGGGGTCTATCGCATACCGTGCACTTGTGGAAAGGTATATATCGGAACCACATCCATGGGAACAAGACTAAAAGAGCATAAAAGGAACTGCAGACTAGGCCAAACGGACAAGTCAGCTGTGGCAGAACACGCACTTAGTGAAGGAGACCACAGAATTTAGTTTGAAAACAGAACTAATTGCCCCCAACCAGGGATACCATAGCCGACTGGTACGGGAGGCAATAGAGATCCACAAACACACGGAGAATTTCAACAGAAAAGAAGAAGCGGTTAACCTCAACCGAATATGGAACCCCATTTTAAAGAGTTTGAGAATAACGAATGACAACAGGCAGCAAGATTGTTAATGTTCCAAGTTCAAGTGCAGGAACGAGTACAGGTACAAATGCAGGTACAAAAATCGGTACAAATACAACTGATTACCTGACAAGGCATAAATACGCTTTACGAAGCCGAAAAGGTAGTCATCGGACAGCAAGCCATGATGGTTAAACCTCTGAAGAAGCTAGCCACTCGCGCCAGCGAAACGTCAGGAAGAAATTCCAAAAATCCACGGCTTTCAAACTCGAAAAGAAATGGCATTGATAATTGAAATATGTTCTATACATTCTTTCGATTAGAGTTGATATTTTCATTCACAAAATTGTTTTTGAATGTATCTGAAACTTCTGACAAACACCAAAATCACGTAGCAGCTATCAAAATATACAATAAAATAAATAATGAATAAGTAATAACGCACGCAAACCGTACTATTTATGTTTTCGCATTATTTTGGTGAGTAACTCATACGGAAAAATATTTATTCAGTGTTTTGAAATGGTTTATGAGGTTTATTTATAGTAAGAGAACAGAGAAGAAATACGTAGTGAGTTCAAAAAGTTCAACGTATGAACATTGCAATTAATTTGCTCTGTTCGTGCTGATTTTTTCTACACACTCAACTGAATTTCCTGATTGATTCGGCCGTTACTTGATGTAGATCCATAGTAATTTCAAAAACTACACCTCAAGGTTTGATCTCCACAAACTTCATTTGAAAAATATCACAACAGGTTTCGCTAGCACAGTAGCTTTTTCAAGTGATTTATACTTCAAGGTGAGACTACTTCCAAAAAACTACCTAAACCTCTACCTAAGGTACCTGTTCAATTATGATCACCTGAAGCATATTACATCACATCTACATCATTAATAATTCTTTCTTGGTTTTTAAGAAAACAAGTTCAATAATGGTGATCTATTCAAATGTTTGAATTTTCAA